TGGGTGTATATAAATAACTCTTGTGAGAGTTAGCACAGCACAGCTGGCAGGGAAGCAAGAAACTATTTTCAGCCTGTAGCCTGCAAATACCTAGAACTGAAATTCCACAGATGTCATCTGAAAACAACCAGAATTTCATTCTTTGTATAAACATTTATAGCTCCAGCACAAGAAAAAATAAGATCTACACATTAGAAAAAAGGGGGGAAAAAAGCCCACTGTCACTAAAGGACACATCTCTGCTCACTTGAGGCCAGGCTGCGTGGTTTGGTGGTCAGTGAGCTCTGCAGGCATGCAGGATGGGCATGGTGCACCGTGAGGATGCTTCCTGGCCTGAGCCCAGGTCTCTGCAGGCTGTTTGTAGGGCTGCTGTGGGGAGAGAGGGCATAAAGAAGAGTGTCCTCAGAGCCACTCTGAAGATTACCATTTCAGAAAGGTATAAATATAAATTTTATTTACTGACCACTACTCCTGAGCAGAAATCATAGTGACAGTATAATATCATCTATCAGTCTACTGGACAAATCCTGGAAAGCAGTTATCACTGATGCTGTTGTTATCCAGGAACATCTAGTTCTCCATCTTTTTTGCATTCCTTTCATATAGCTAACAGTTAAGCTGCCTGTCCTGTTAAAAAAAGAAAAAAAAAAAAAAAAAGGACAGCTTAAAAGCAAAATTTCTATTCAGATCAAAGAAAATATGTAAAATTAGCATTAAAAAATTACTTCAACTTTCTTGTATTCAGGGATTAGAAGATATTAAAATTTTTCTTTGGTAAATGTTCTGTTTGAGATCTTAGTTTAATTTTAACGATGAATTTATAAATCTGTTAAATGAAGAAAGTTAGAATGAAAACTTAGAAGTTGTATTGTATGACCATTATCATTATCATATATTACAATTGTGCTGTTGCAAGAAGGCAATTCTTGCTTGATTCTGAAATGATTAGCTTATTCTAAGCTAACGTTTCAGCTGCTTACTGTGACTGCTGAATCCTAAGTGAATTTGTGCTACAGCCTTTTGCACTAAAGAGGTGATTGCAGAAGTGCCAGCACTGCCCCCTGAACAGCATGCCACATCCATCAGTTTGCACTCAGTCACAAGGAAACCTACAAACGTTCTTTACCTAACTGTTTCTCGTTGGTTCTTTAACCTGGCTGGAAGCTGAAAAGAAAATGTTCAAGGGCTGCAGTAAGAAGCCCCAGTCAATATTTGCAGCTAGAAAATAAAACAAAATTAAAAAAAGGTAATAATATTAAAGGAAGCTCTGTCAAAAATGCAAATGTGGTCAAAGCACCAGATGGTCTAGCTACAGAAATTTTCCCTAAGGATCCCTTTTGAAGCCACAGAAAAAGGCTGAGCAAATGGTTCAGGTGGGAATCTGAACCCACCTTTATCAGCTGAATTCCTGAAACAAACTCTTGCAAGTTCCAATTCAGCGACACTGTGTAATGAGGCAAATGTCATCGTGCTTGTGCCTGCTGGGTCAGAGGATCACTGTGCTCTGGGATCCCACGTCCTGGAGTGCAGGGAGGAATTCAAGTTAAGATAAGGCTTCACCATGCTGCGTGGTTAGCATCCAAATTTGAACTTCAGTGGGATTGCCCTTCCTTTCAGGAAGGCCTAGTACTGTAATGCTCTGTAGTTAATGCTAAAATGCTGTGTAAGATACCTGCAAATGAAAACAATTTCTGTAGATATATTTTGCAATTCTGAGTTCATCTCTGCATATCCTATGGAACCGCGAGCATTTATCAATAAATGTCTTATAGCCTTGGCAGAATTGCGAACAGAAAAATATCCACCCCCCAAATAGGAAACTGAATAAATTATAAGCTTGAATATACCTAAAAGAAATTGCTAATAATATAATAATAATAAGACTAATTTCATAGGTAACTGGCTAAAAGAAAGTGGCTTAGGTAAAATTCTTAAAAATAAAGCAACAGTGAAGAATACCACAAAGCAACTAAAATAATCCAGTCAAACAATCAGAAGTTCTTAATAGGGCAACATCTTGTGTAGGATTTTAAGATTTGAGGATTTGCTTGCTATACATGCCTTACCTAAAACAAACAGACAAAAATAGCTATTAGTCACTGCAGTTTTGTGCAGAAGCTGACACGTTTGGAATGAACAAATAATTATGTGGTGCTTCCACATTATAATGCGGAATCACTGCTGTCATCTGCTTGCCCATTAATCTCATTTCATGTGCAATTACCTGTAAACTGGGCATTGACTGCACTTAGTAAGCAGCTACATCCTGAGATATCTCCTGAAAAAAATACTCAGCTTTGCTACCTGCATTTGTTCATCGTGGTCTGTTTTATAAATCTACTACACGTGTAGTTTCCTTTATTTTGGTTCTGTACTACCAAACAGTATTACTGACAGAGCATTTCATGGGTGGATGTTTTTCAACATTGGGTATGTATAGGCCTTGCAGGTCTTCAGTGACAGATATGGAGGTAAGAAATATTATAATAAGAATGTAGAAATTTGATGTAATGATACCCGCTATTGTGTGTGGTACACTAATCGTTATTTACTGATGAAGGTGGCAGAACACAGTTTTTGAAAAGTTTTTCATTTTATAAAGCTTATGTGATCCTCATGTCAGAGAATAGCTCTTTAAAAATATATCTAGATTCATCAGATACTATATAGCTACCTGAAAGCGCATGTTGAACCTCGCTGCTATAGACAGGTGAAATCCCAAGGGAAGGGAAGGTAATATGCTCACCTTAAGCCATATTCATTATGGGCAAACAAAGGCTGAAACTGCTTGAAAGAAGATCCATGGCAAGATCTGGGCTATTCCTAATTTGTCTAGAAGCTCCATCCTCTTCCTAATTCATCTCTTAATCCCTTGTGCTGATCTTGTGGGACAGGATGAGGAAATCCATGATCCTTTAATGCAGTATCAGCACAATGGCAAACTTTCTTGACTAATGAAGGGGCTGCTACAATCATTTATATAATCACAGACAGGCTTCCTATGGCTTATTCCTCTGTGAACTGCATCTCTAGCACTATGCTTTACATCCCACAAGATGGAAAAGGATTTAGCAAAAAGTTTCATGGATACAACTACATACTGAAAAATAGTAAATACGCTTTTGGCAAACAGAGATAATATTTCTGAGTATTTTTGAATATGTTATCCATTATGTTCTGGAACTGAAGGGAAGTTTTAGATAAAATACTTATATTTGGAGAACATAATATTTGGACTAACACTGAAAAATAGAGAAGATCTTGCGTTGCTGGCAACCTTGATAAAATGCATCTTAACAATAATACTTTGGTTTAGAATATTGTACTGGAAAAAATATGGGGAACCTGAAAATTCAATTTTTCTTTCAGTGTTAAATATATGCCAGAAATTTACCTAAGCATCATCATATTTTTTATTTCCAACACCACATAGAAAATGAACCATTACTTGAATTGGAAGGATAAAATCCATCCTATCGGCATACTACATCTTTTCTCACAAGACATAGGGCAGTCAGTCCATGCATGGGCAGATTTATAATTTTGTAACAGGGATTTAGTCTGGGTATTAGGAAAAAGTTCAGGCTGGATGTTGGGAGAAGGTTCTTCACCAAGAGGTGCGGTCAAGGCACTGGGACAGGTTTCCCAGGTAGGGGTCACAGCACCGAGCCTGAGGGAGTTCCAAAAGTGTTTGGACAATGCTCTCAGACATGGGGTCTGATTTTTGTATGGTCCTGTGTGGAGCCAGGAGCTGGACTCAATGATCCTTGTGGGTCCCTTCCAACTCAGGATATTCTAGGATTGTAGGACTGGGGTGGTGGTGGTAGAAACATTTCACAAGTGGTTTATTGAAATCAAACTAAAAGACAAAAATATATAAAGGGAGGTTGCAGGCTGTGGCTATTGGTTGGCTGCAAATTCTCACAATATCTCCATGAAATCTGGGTGGGGAAACTGAGATTACACATATATAAGGGGAAGATTTTGATCTCATAATTTTGTCAATACATGTCTTGTCACTAATACTACCACAACTACTAATCCCATTATGGTGTCTCACAATTTACATGAGTATTTTTTTAGGCATTTTTTTTTCTCTCCCTAGGCAACTGTCAGGCAGGCAGTACAGAAGGCCTCTTTCCTGTGTGTGGAGTTATTACAGCAAGCCTTGTCCCATGCTGCTGAAACCAAGAATATCTCCCCTTAAAGCAAAAGATTTATTTTATTCATACCACATTTTCATTATTAAGAAAAAAATATGATTCATAAAATATTACCCTATGGCAATATGCAGACTTTAATATTAATGCCATTTTATTTAAAAATAATAATCCTCTAAAATAGAAAAGATTAAACTCAAGCATGAATAAATACTTGTATCTGCCTTGAAACTACATCTGTGCACTTTGTCTCTCATCTTTTGACATCCCATGAACATCTCCAAAAAGTTATGGAACATTTTCTCTTGAGCAAAAAGCCCCTCACGGACGTGGCTGGTTGTCTTTGAGAGATGTCTAGGGGTCTTCTAATTTCTCACTCATAGAGTTTGAAGCTGGCTGTATTCCATAACCAGGTTTTATACAATAATTAGACAGCCACTCAAATTATTGTTACTCAGTTCTTTGGCCTCAAAAAATATTCCTTATGCAAGATTCTGCCTGTTCTGCTGACTGATAAGAAAATGTGCATTCAAATTGGTCCTGCTATGACTGACAACATTGTGCAATTCAAGAACTGCAAGCCTTAGGTTATTCCTCGGTTCTTTTGAATCAGTGTGTACCATACTTCTGTGCTGAAATGTCCAACCCTGTATTTTTAAGCTTTCATTTTATTCTTAGCAATTTTATCTCTGGAAGGCAGCATAACTGCAGCAATTGCACATCCCATTTCAGAAAAATAAAGCAACATTCATTTTACATTTTAATGGCTTACTGTTAGGTGTGGAAATGAAGAGACTGATTATGAATGAGAATGACAAACAGCAAAACCCAATTACTCACGCGTGCTAGGCTGGTTCCAGAAGGGACTTTATAAGGGACGTACTTTCTGTAGATATGCCCAACTCTAGAGCATGGAACATCAAACATGCCACCTCCACACATCCACACCTGGAAAGGAGACACAAAGCAAAAGAAAGAATGACTCCTGGGGACAAATGGGGCAAAGAAGGGAATTTTGACTGATGTTATGGTTTGTTATGTAAGGGTTATGTAAAAACTATACATCATTCTGTACCGAATCCTCCTGCATTCTAGTGGTGGCCTTCTTTGCTTACCCAATGCTGCAATTTGATAAAAAGGTTCTTTGGTACCTGGAATCTCACTTTGCAAATACAGGGTATGTTCAAAATGAAAATATAAAACATCTTTGATGTATCTATCAATGATCCTCCTGCAACACAACCAAGATATTTTGTCTGCTGTTTAAAACTTATAGGGACAACATTTCAGAAGAAGGCCATGTGTGTAAAACAAACCACCAGAAAGAATTTCCAAAACACCTGGCTTATGTTTTGTATTGAATAGTGAACAAAGAGCTCAACTGTTAAGATGCTCTTCATTTTGTAAAGAAAAAGGAAAAAAAATCCATTTCCTTCCAATCAAATTCACATAGAGAAAAGAGCATGCTGCTACTTTTCATCATTAATACATTTGACACTGAAACAAATGTAGTCATCTCTGTCAAAATTGATGGGAGCTGCAAGTACATCACAGGCCTAAAACCCAAGCTGCATGTTGATGGGCAGCAAGTAAGGAATTCTTCACAAGGCTTCACAAAACCTAGTGTGACTAGGTTTTACCAAGTGTATGTGAGAGCAAGGCTGTGTGTCACATCAGAGGAACTACAGAAATCAAGCAATAACACCTACGGGCATCATTTTCTGTGCCAAACCACTGAACTCCTAGATGGCTATTAGGTGGTTTTTATAGCACACTGACAACATTTATGACTTTCTGATTAAAAAAAAATAATAATGAAAAGAAAAAGCAATTTGATTTTGCAAATCAGGGAAATGGAAAACAACAAAAAACCTGTGAAAGTCCACAAGCAGAACTTTTTTCAAAATCCTGAAACCAGTCATACATCAAGAGTTTAAAATTCACTTAGAGTGAAAGCTGATATAAACATTAGTCCCTAGTCTTGGCAAAATAGTATTCTTTGTTCTCTGCAAATATTATAACAGAATGGCTGCTACTCTATATTTCCATTAATTTCCATTTATCTGGGTGAGAACAGAGGTCCACATGCTACACATATGAAGGGATTTTATCTGTATTTGATGCATTTTGGAGCAAAATGGAATGAAGTAAGCTTGTGATTGAGGCTAATGCAGAACAGAACAGACAACTGAGAGTTTTATCAATGATTTACATACAGAAAGCAATTCATCCAGAAGTTGATATACTCCCAGTTAAAGAAGCAGTTACCAGATCCCTAGAAAAAGGTATCAGAAAATATGATATGATCATGAATACTTGACATTCACTGTGAAGCCTGCAGCGAACAATGTGCATCTCTGCACTTTTTTACCATACATTTCTCATTCTGACTCTTCTGGCCTGTCTACCAGCTGGCTGTAGCAGCTGGCTTTTTCAAATCACAGGAAAATGAAATGATTGATTTCATTCATTTAAAACAATACTGAAAATGGACAAGAGTTTGGCCTCTTTTGCTGAGCTTGCCTTTGTTACAGAGGGTGTATCTGCATAGTCCTGGCTGAGTGGTTGTGAGCTTGCGACTACATTTTAGTAATCTGAACGTGCAGATGCTAAGCACTGCACTGCGGGATCACTTGGTGCTTGAGAGTGACTGAAAGCAATTGCTGAAGGTAGCAAGCTGGAATTCAGCCCCTGAGAGTGACTGCTATTCATACTGTGAGAAGAGAAAGCTGGGGTTTTTAGCATGAAGGCCTGAGTTGCAAAGTGATTGAGGAATCTACTTCTTATGGGTCATTTGGGTATTAGCCCTTGTAATTGTTTGAGGCTCTGTACCACATTGCCTGACAAGCCTGAGTACACTAGCATGAACAAGGAAGGTTTGAAACCGCCAAAGACAGCAGAAGATCCTGTCCTGTGGGCCCACAGACACCCTTGCACAGCTGAAAGCTGCTCAGGACCTTTCTCTTGCCCAGCACGGAGTTAGTTAGCTCTTCACTAAGGCACAGGAGTGCTCCGTAGGTGCTCCTGGTGCTTACTAGCATGTCAGACGAGCAGGCACATTTTGCAGGTAAGTGGCACCAAGCGATAAAGGCAGCTGCACTGCCAAATGGAAGCACACACGGTGATGGAATCAAGAGTATTTTAACTCCTATTTCTGTTGTGAGCATATCTCATCAGGTCCCTGAGTGAGCACAGTCCTCCTCAGGGAGCAAATTTACTGATGGGTTAGAAATGGAGACCCAAATGAATGCTCTGCCTCTGTGCCAAAATAACTCATTACAGTCCAGAGTGGTCTTGCTATGCCGTGCTGACTTGATCATTTTTTTTCAAAACCATTTTGTAAAGTTTGCTTCTTAAATGAAAACCTGAAATCCTGTTAACATTTGTAGATAGAATCATAGAATATCCTTTTCATGTAATCCCGTGACACCTAATTCTCATTCATAAACATATTAAAAATAATAAAAATGAGAATGTTAAAATCAGGTCGGTAAATGACGTAAAAAAAATATTATTCGCCTTTCTGCAAATACTCTGTATGTTACATCATTTGGTACCTTTTCAGTGGATACCTCTGTGGCTGTCTTCAAATAACCCAGTGTACAGATGAAAGTGCAGACATATATCTACTGTTTGTTGCTGTTTTTTAAATTGAAGTGTTATTTCAAAGACTAGACAAGATATTGAAGTCATTAAGCAATGTTTCTTACCTACTGAAGCTACGAGTGGACAGTATGGAAGTTTGACTCAGAGGAGGATCAACAACAGAACAAATTTAAAAGACAAGAAAGCATATATATATATAGGGCAGTATTACTTTAACTCAGACAATGAGAGCTGAAGTAGACATATACTGCATTTTCTCTAATGCAGTTGAATATCTGGAAAAAAAAAAGAAAAGAAAAAGAAAAGCAAAATGAAAGGAGAAAAGGAAAAAAAACTGTCAGGTATACTGAGGCAATAACAAGTGGGAGGAAATAACACTTTGTGTTAGGTTTAAATTTGATAGATATAAAACTTGAAAATGCTGTGCTGCACCTGAGGTGCACTGTGTAGGGTAATTGAAATGAATCTCGAGCTGCCTTGAAGGACATTTAGCAGCTGTTCCTGTTTATCTTTTAGCTTCACGATGGTTTTAAAGGCATTTTTAATATTTTCCTGGGAAGATCAATTCTGGCAACCTTGTCTTTAAAATGTGCATTTTTATGTCACCTGCACTAAATGCAAGAAATTGGAGAATGGCTTCTGTGTTAAATATTGCAGATCTCTAGTGTACCATGAAAAGAATTCAGGTGGTGTGGGACATTTGGCAAAATGATATCACAACACTGATGCCTCTGTTTATCTAAGATGCAAGCAATGAAACTCTCAAGATTGCTAATGCCTCCTTCTTACAAAGCAATGAATCTGGTCCACAGCTGAGGTATAAAATACAAAGATGAAACTAAAACAATGCAATTTCAGTTTGGAAAGATCAAAAGAAGAGTAGTTTATGTGTCAGCTATGTACTATATCACAATTTATCTTTATATAGCTCCTTCCAAGTGAATGTTGCAAAACACTTTATAGGGATGGTTGAAAGCAAAAGGCAAGCATTAATGCAAGCTTTAAAATAGATTAAGCTGTGGTTTTGTGGCTTTGTTCCTGACTGCAGCTTAGATATCACAGATGCATTTTCTGGCTCTGCTGTACATCTCTTCTGGGATTTCGGGTGAATCACCCTCTTTTTATATCACTTTGTCTTTAAAACTAAATGTTACTTGCTCTTTCTATCTCGTCGCCTTATTTGTCTAGCTTGTGAGTGATCCAGCCCAGGGACTATCTGTAAAATGTAAATACAGTGCACACAAGAATGAGACTCCAACCCATATGCTACACTGTAATCATAATTACTGCAGTAAGAGATTCATGATTTTTGAGCAGTGGAGGATATGTTGCTGGAGAACAGGAACATAAACATACAGCAAATTAAGTAAAAGATTGAGGAGGGACTGAATGGATTTTGGATCAGTCTTCAAAACTAATTGAGAAACATACTGCAGCTGAGAGTCAGTAACAAGACAGACAATAGCAAGAGACACTGAAATGAAAGAAAAAAAAAAAACACACAAAAACAGTAAACTGGTGGAAAAGGAATATAAAGTATGTCATGCAAAGCTGTCAGTTTGGTGCTCTGTGCATTGGGCAAGAAAGATAGACTACAAACAGGAGAAACGTACTATCACAATGGGGCTGAAAAAGTCATAGAAAATATAAACACAAAAACATTATGGAATTTTGCAGATACTCTTCCTGAAATGTAAGCCAAGAAACCAGATCTGGCAGTGGTAGAAAATGAAAAGGAAGAATATTTTATTGTGAACTTTTCCATGTAACGAGAATGCCCAGCTAAACGCAAAAGTAATAAAAAAAGAATAAAAACAGGAACAATGACTTCAAATGTGCAGTCAGCAAAGTCAGAAACAGCAAAAGCCATTTACTCATGATGTAGCGGAATTTCATGCCAATGACATTAAAACAGTACTGCGTAAACTGGAAATCAATAACTGGATACTTCAACAGAACCCACCAGCGGTTCCCAAATACTGAGCACCTGTACAGAAGTACAGCATAGTCTGCAACTGCATTGACAAGTGGTAATGCTCCCCTACTCCCTATCTCCCCCCAAGATTGCCAGCAGTGGAAGGAATTAACAATGAAGACAATAAATAAAGGGTTTAATGAACTTGGAAGTGTGTCAAAAACAGGGAGGAGAGAACCTGGAAGATGTGTCAGATAAGGATAAGGATAAAAAAAAACTAGATATAGGTGACTATCTTCAGAGAGGCTGGGATATTAGCATGATCATTTTTGTTAAGGTACGGTATATGGCCATGACTAAGGAATATTCAGAGTAAAGGATCTTCAGCAAACACAGGAAATGACTATCTTTTGCAACTCTATATATTTTGGAAATTACTACATAAACTGTGTCTTTCTAGCAGATTTAAATTTAGGATTTCCTATACAGTGGCTTCCCTGGTTGATGAGAAAGGAAGCTATCAGGTCAGTTCCAGCACTTGGACAGTTTTCGCAAGTTTAGAGCATGCTGAACAGTATCGTCAGCAAGATATCATACATCTTTTTAATTAAAAAACTGATCCTGAGGTTATGCTGTCAAAAAATTAAAATGCTACGCGTTATTTCTTATGTAAAAATTAATCTAAGAAACCCGTTAATGAAGAGGTCCCATTTTGATACACAGGTTGCAACTGCCTTACCATTCCTCAAACGTGTGTCCAAGTGCTCTGATTTGAAAACTACAGTTCATCAACGCAGCACTCCATGTAATGAGTGCTGCTGTCCTCTGCTGCAATGTTACCAATCAAGAACATAAGAGAAGTATGCTGTTTTTTTGTAGTCACAGAAATAAATGTCAAGCAAACTTAAAAAGCTGCCTTTTTTAAAAAACAACAACAACAACAAAAAACAACTTGTAACAACTTGTCCCTCTGTCTTCCTAACAACTCAGCAGCTGGAATAGAAATGTGCCTGAAGTCTGAGGAAGTTTCCTGCTATGGCACAATTCCAAACATCACCGAAGCATTATAAAGCTTCCTGTATTTTAGAGAAACATTCAATTACTCTGCAGTAAAACTAGTTTATGTGCAGATTCAGGCTCTTTTTTTCCCCCTAGAACACCCCTCATCCTCCCCAAACACATACTAACAGATTTTTTCTCACACTACCCACCCCCTGTCCCCATGTAATGAGATAATGCAAACTCCCCCACAGAAAAATACTTTGGGTTAGGAGTATGCTCTGCACTGAAGCCTGGTGCCTGTCACCCCAGGTCACATCTAGTGAAACAGCCAGTAAGAAACATCAAAATTGACACTTACCCTCCAATCTTCCCAGCCTGACTACCCTTCCTAAATCTGTTTCAACTTTTTTTTGTGTCAGAAACTGCTGCCTGACTCCCCAGACAACCAATTCTACTGTTATAATCTTATTATATAGTTTTTAAAATCAGTACTCAAACTCTGCCTTAGCATCTTGAACTCATAAAGCAGCATGGCTTAGCTGTTATTAGTGATTCCTTTGAGCTTGCATGATGACCCTGTACACCAGCCTTTAATTCACTGTGTGTCTGGGGTATGCAAAATGCAGTAGAAGATTAAAGTGAGCACAGCACAGCAGAGCAGGTGATACTAAGTTCACAATGCAGAAGCTGATGAAGCTTCATGTCAGAGGACATCAGGCAAACTATTTTCTTGACTTGAGTCTAGCAAAGATCTAGCCATCATACTTTTTTGAAAGATCCAATTTCTCTGTTTTCTTTAAGCCCATGCTCTGTACTCATGGCTTCCTACCTGCCTTGTAGCCCACACTCCTCTAATTTGAGTTGTGTGGATGACTGTTGATAACTGTGATTCAATAATGCAGACGTCTTTGGTTGAGAAGATGCTTTTCCTTAATGTGATCTTGATTGTCAAGTGATACTTTCCCTTTGGTGTGTGAACGTTTCTGCAGAAGTTTCATTCCACCATTTAGGATATTTTTCTCCAAATAAAATGAGGCCACAAAATGTTAAACATGCACTGTTTCTTTTACATGATTCTATGCTTGGAAACAGTGAAATTGGGCGCATAAGCCTGATACTTGAGATACACATTTGCCAAAGATCTTCCTTAACATACCTGTAAGCTTCCCTCAAGCACTCAAATCATTAAAGTAAACAGGAGCACTAATTAAAGACATGTGCCACAGCTTGTCTACTTTATAGTACCTGGATCTACTATTACAATGTTAAGCAGAGAGGTTACAGTAGGTTGTTTATCCATGGAGTTTAAAATTCATAACCGAGTAGAAGAACAAAAATGATCCATGAACACTCCTCACTCCAGCTCACGGAGCAGGGCAATCCGTTCAAGGTGAACCAGACACTATTTCCTTCCAGAGTGTCTGTGACGGCTCTCACTTTGGCATGCACTCTCTCATAATTACATCACTGTATTTGAATTAACCACAAAAATCACAAGTCCAACACTGGAAAGATCATGTCATTGGTATGGTATCCATTTATAGTAGCTGGATCACTTATTTATACTTATATAGCAGCGTTCATGCAAATGAATCTCAAAGTTAAAAACAAGGTTATATACGAAGAACATAAAAGGAAGACCATGTCTGTCACTTAGTTTAAAGACCAATCTGAAATAGTCATGTAACATGAACTTTCTTCCACTGTTATGGGACATTTCAAATTGGCTTCTTTTTGCAGCTTCTTAATGGAAAAAGAAGTCAAATTTTTACAAAATACTTGAGATGTAATTGAATTGAAGAAATGAGCGAGAACAGTCAAGTATCTGGTAGTTACAGATGTTCTGGAGGGGGTTCTTGAGGCAGCATGCTCCAGATAGTCATTTGCCAAGTAAAATAACATTAACACAAGATATGGCATCAACACAGGGTACCCCAAAACCACAGATAATCTAGGGAAGATGTCATTTCCTACCGACTCAAGCTGGGTGTTACACACGTTGGTCATCTGTTATTTTCATTGACTTTGTAAATAACAGAGAGATAGCAAGTCCACCACTGTCTCAAGTTTTGTGAATAAAAACGATAAATTAAACAAACTTGCTCTCATTTAAAAAAGTTTTAAGACAACCAAATCTGTAGCTCTCAGTGTAGAAACTGTTGAACCAGAAACCTTTCCCAAGATGAAATGGGTAATTCTGGTATAACAAAAAAAAGTCTGTTCGGTTTCTCCGTTCTGCCTCCCATGATTTCTTCTCCTGTTTTGTGTCATTCCAAACAAAACAACAGTGTTTTTTCTGTAACTCATATCTGTTAAATTCTTCTAACAGAAAGCTGTTTCTATTGGCAATTCTTTTTAAGGAGATTTTTTTTTCCTCCTCCTTCTTCTTTTAATACTAATAAGAAAGGACAGGGACCCTAAGGTTAGTATACACTAATGAGATGAATCAGGAGATATCAGGAGATATGACTGAAATGAGACCCAGTGTGACACAGCTGCCTCCAAAAAAAAAAAAAAAAAAAAAAAAGAAATCTATCACTTGAACAAAACACATTGGGGCAATCTAGCAATCTAGTATCTCAATTTCTAGTGCTGTTACCATGGTTTCTATACAAAGACTGGACTGCATTACAATTATATTCTTTGTGATGACAAATAAAAGGAATATTTTTAATAGGATAATAAAATCTTAGGTGACCTGCCAGAGGACTGTTTTTACAGCTACAAGTGACTACTTACATTTGACTCTGAAACAACTTATATGGATAGAATGTCAATCGATATATTCAAAACATGTTTTCCATCTGCTGGGTTTCCCTTGCCTTCCAATTTTGCTTTGCTGTGGCGTAAAAATGATTTAGAGAAAGATGAGAGTAGTGCAGTTAATACAAACCATTTTTCTGTTCTTGATAACTCCCATAAAGACAGTCCAGCAGCTCAGTGTAGGGTCATGCTGTACATTTTATTCCACAGAATGGCCACAGCTCTATTGTTTTAATCACTGTTGAAACTCAGATGCAGCAAGATGTACAATATTAGTCATGGTTGACATACTAAATTTATTTGCTGAGCTTTACACTGTAGGAGTTTGGAAGTAGGTTGGAAAGATCCTGAAGCTAAATGTGAATTCTGATTACAGATCCAAGCCTTATCCAAACAAGTCTGACTCATTTAATATATTTCCTGAAATTCTATCAGCATAGAAAACCTGTGCATACAAAGGCCATAAGGTAAAGTTCTTAATTCCATGAGTATACTGGAGCATAATAAACTGAATTTTCAAAATTAGATATATTAGTCTATATCAAACTAACGCAAATACCTGTTTTACATGTGGAAAGCAATAAGACTTTCAACTCAGCATGTCAAAGTCAAGTAACTGATTTGAATACACATGTCCACACAGAGGATATACCATGGACAGTGGTTCATAACCTGGGCACTCGGAAACTCCCCATCATTACAATTATCCAAATTGAATTAGAAATCATCTGATTTTGATAATCCGGCCTGTAGGTAATAACTCATAGCAGTTGAGCTGGTCTAGTGATTCATCGCTACCAAAGAGAATCCTCTTTCCTATGAGTTTCTACTTTCATTTCCATCCATTCCCATGAGCTGACCCTGTGGGAGCCTACTCCCAGCATGGTAGGGTTCAGTAAACGTGTCTGATGGGAGGTAAGTGGAGAAGACTTGACACAAAGGACAAGGTAAAACTTTATCCTTTGATGGTGGTAAGCTACCAGATAATTGGAGAAAATTCCACTAAACTGCACTCAGTGATTTTATATGGCTTATGGAGGCTATGTTGATGACATAATTCTGTTTTAAATTAGTGGAAATTCATAAAGAAAAAGAATTCAAACTGTACTAATTCTTGTTAATTCTGGTTAATTCTTCTTTAATTCTAGTTAAAACCCTAAAGCTAGAGTTAGTTACAGCATCATGATCACAAAGCATATCAGAAATCAAAATCCACAGGCATAAAACCAAACAAGTAAGTATTACATAAGGTGACTCGATGACTTACCTTAAAAGAGATTTCATACTGCTCTCCTCCCCATATTTCTAATCCTGGATCATAGCCTCCCAGCTCCCAAAACCATTTTCGGTTAACAGCAAAAAGACCTCCAGCCATCACAGGAGACCTGAAGAATAAGTAAAACAAACTGTAAATGACAGGAACTACCCTGCTGTGCCTGAAAAAATGTAAAGACTGGCATTGTATATTGACAAACAATAATGAAGATCGTGCATGCGTGTGTGTGTACAAGTGAATGAATGTAGGTGCATTCACAGTTACCTTTCTTGTAAACTACATTTACCTTTATTGACTCTAAACTGGACTCCAGCTGAGAAACAGGCAATGTGATATAAGTAGATAGATATAGGGCATGGTAGACAGTTATGTGCAAATTCTCCCTTTTAAAACCAAATTCTGTTCATTGTTAAGTAAACCTACATAACAGTGAAAGAAAGGGACTCCAGAAACCTGCAAGAATGTTTAATGTGATCCCTATGTTCCACGTGAAACAACTTACATTTGAAAGAGTTTTGAAAGTGAACAAAACTTCTCAATTCAATTCAGTTTCACAGGTGCTGGCTACAGAAAAGCAACAGTAGATGGTCACAGAGCAGCTGCTGGGAGTTGAATACCTGCTTTTCTACAGGAGCATTTAAAACTCCTCAACTTAGTCTCACAGTGGTGATTTACCTCATAGGCAAATCATTCAGTGTTTCCTGTGTTTTCATTTATTCCATGAATAAACGTGGAATTCAATTGAATTGCTTTAATTCACCCCTTTCCACAGATAATATAGAAAACAAACAAGTGGGATACATAAGATTATAGGATGTTCATGAAAAGTGCATTTTAAATTTATAAGCATGATTTTTTATACTGGAAACTTTTTTTTTTTTTTTTAACTACCAAGACAACGATGCTTCTAATGAAGTAAGTACTTTGACAGCTCTCGGGAGTTCAATGTTGCTCAATGATTCCTTGATGTTGTAGTGGAAGGGTTCTACACTGAACAGGTAGAAGATAAGCTGAAGAGAGGTCAATCCAACTGCTCAATCAGTTTTGAGTCAACATTTGCCTTACAAGTTCAGAGCAACAGGCAAAAAGGAACACATTTCTGTTAATGTCTGGTCAGTAAGAGGAAAGATGCTGCTAGTACTTCCTAATCAGAGAATAGACATAAAAACAGATAGTATGCTATGTGTTTTGTAACACTGCAGCCTCTCTGGGAAAATCATCCCACCTGGGGGAACTTTTGTTTTGAATTAATATAGGTGGATTGTTTGTGGCTATGGAAGCAGATGGTTCCATTCCTGAGAACTGACTGGCAAACAAAAACTTCATTCTTTGCCACTGATTTAGGATTTGGTAGTGAACTAGGACTGATAAGTATTGCAGTAAGCTAGAAGTTTATTAACTGGGCATCAAGTTAATGGAATAATGTTCTGCCATATTTTTTCTTATTTACCACTTTTTATAATGCTATCATTTATCCAAGACAAAAAAGCAAACAGCTGGGTGGCCTCTACCACCATTAGAATCACAGAGAAGGAATGTCAGAAAATGATCCTCTCAACTGCATTCATAGTAATGAAATACATTACAGGTATTTTACCTTTCACTTCTAGTATGTAAACTGAAATATATGTATATATATATATAAAGAAAACATAACTTACATTTTATACTAAGCTATCAATTTTCACAACTAGGGAGCTCTGTTTTTAACAGACTAATTCTGTTTTCCTTTAGAGATTATATTTCTAAAAGTACATAGTAGCTTTGTGAAACAAAGCTCCAATATTCTAACTGGCAAGGCCATGCTCTGCAACATAGACTGCGTGTTAATACGTTTCACTTTTATTGACATTTCATACCTCAAATATTGACTGTTCTTTCCACATATGAATAAATTCAATGGACTTTTTATTAGAAACCTTCCCCTGGGGATTCTGGCTACTACAATACATTTTCCATTCCTACCGATGTAAAACTAATTACAACATGCCCTTTGTGACTTCAGGTTCTAAATAATCAAAACACAATGTCCTTTTATAAAGATGGACTTGCATGGAAAATACTAAAACCTAAATCTTAACTGGCAGAAGAAATGAAGTCCTAGAAATCACTGGGGAAGCACAGGTTTTCTCTAATTCTCTTCAGTACTTTATCTTCCTTGAGCATTTCTCTTGACACAGTGAAGAGCCTACGGAAATGGCAATCCCCTCAGATGAATCAGATAGAAAATGAAAAAAATCAGACTTCAAATTGCAAGATAATTGACAGATACATTAAAAGTAATCTGTACATTTTCCAGAGATAGTACTGAGTAAAGAAACCCCTTGTTATTTAGACGAACATTCATAAAAGTTCAGAACATTTATTACAATTAGAAAAACAAACAAACAAGGGACTGGAACAGTGAATTCATATTTCTATCATTTACTTAAAAAAAAAAAAAAAAAAAAAAAAAAAAAAAAGGTTTCATATGATGTTGCTGTAGTCATTCTTATTCCACAGCATGTTTTGACATTTGAAGCTTTGCAGAAAAAGTAATGGGGAGGACAAAACAAGATAGCTTTCTAGTTATTGGAAAGAGATGAACAATAAGTTGTGTGGACCTGACCACTTGGCACAGGATATGTATTCCACGGCATGCCACAAGCAGCTACAGCTGAACAGGGCTTAAATTGTCTCCAAAATATGAAGACAAGAGTCCAGTCCTACAATCTCAGCTGATATTAAAAGTCCTTTTGTAGTCAATAGGATTAGTCACACAGACAAGAATTGCACAGAGCCCGAAAGAGAAGAATTAATGTCTTGTTTAATGGCTTCTATATAGAAACGTCAAGTACAAAGCTATGTTTGTAGAAGACATTTTTTTTTTCATGAAACATCCTACTCAGACACTTAAATAATCATACTTGAGCTACTGTAACATAATATTATGTGAGTAATTATAGTGGGAAGCTGTAAAAAACTTCTAGTCAAAGACTTCAAAGGACAAAGACTCCTAAACATCAGAAAAGCTGGAAAGGCTAAGGTTGCTAAACTTAAAAATAGTTATAAAACGCTTCCACATGAGAAGTACTACACAGACTCACTGTACCTGGAAGAGCAATACTGCTGGTAAGTCAACTGATTCAAAAATTGCCCAAGAGACCTCCTTTTTCCCAGCACAGACTGGTGTGCTGAGACAAAAATGGAGTATGATTTAGTGACAGTGAGAAAAAAAAGGATTTTTTTTTTTTTGAAAAAAAAAAAATATACACTGCACTGAGAAAAAGGCAGGTAAATGCTTAACAAGAAAAATAGCTTACAGATTTTTACAGATTTAAAAAAATGTGCTTAAAGAAGTGTAGCAGTAGATTAACTGTAACCAGTGAACAATTTTCTGACTTCTCATAATTTACATGCAGAGGAAGAAAAGAGATCATCTATGAATTTTCAAAGTCAGAGAACCTCAACCTGCTGGCCATGTTGCTTTTGATGCAGCCCAGGAGGAGTGTGCCCCTCCACCTTAGTGATACCACAGGAAGGCATCTCAGAAGAGTGAATAGATTCAAATACGTTGTTCCAGAGAGCTGGTGCTCTCTGCAGTGATTCTTGATAGTGCACCAAAGCTTCATCATGCAAACAGCAGAAGCTGATACTAATCCTATATAATACAAGTTTTGAACAAAAGTAAACATTAAAATCTATGCATGTTTAAAGTAAGAGACAGAGATTTGGACACTAATATGAAATGATGTGGCTGCAGAAATAAAATAAACTGAAATGAAGAAGATGAGCTGACTTAGGCTAGGAAGTGATAGATACAGTATGAGCTCATAGGCTGCTCCAAAAGACAAACTGAAGGACAATTTCTGTATGGTGCATGGAAAAAGGATAATGTAATTGGGATGAATGTGGATCAGACTGACATCACTGAATTTTTCAAGTAAATTAAAAAGAGGTATCTTATGTATATTTAACTGTTTAAACAAATATGTTGATATTAGTTTAAAGTACTCCCTTTTTTTTTTACACTGAATATTTCTGTAATACACTATATCCTTTTATCTTACTAACATCCATTCTAACAACATGATTATGAAACAACTTTGCCCCTTATTTGATGAATTTGTGCCCCAGTCTCTAACAAATGCTCAAATAGCTTTTGCAAACCACTGCATCCCTGATGCCCACATCCTATCTTCTTAGTTTGTAGGAACAGTATCTTAAAATACATGACAGATCAACTGTGTAAAGAAATGGTCTGTCTTTAAGTTGATTTGCTCCCCATAAATAGTGCCCCTACACCACAGCAGTTCAATAATTGTACATTCAAAACCCTCATTAAAGTACACTGTAACTTACCAGCTGTTTTTTTTCTTGTTATGTAACTGTGAAGTTTTGAGTATTTATAATAAGATACCACAGCAATTTTCACAAAGAAAACTGAAGGCAGCATTTGTACCACTATATTCAACCGTGCAGACTCCTATACATCCAGCTGGTTTCAGTAATCTGCATTCTCTAATTAAGCTGTTGTATAAACTTCATATCACTCCTAATCAGTTTGAATATTCTTGTGTTATTTTTTTGTTCCTCTCTTTCATTCTAATGAATGGTTTGCAAAATCCATCATATGTTGACAGATTTCATACAGATCCACATTTTACCTACAACATCTACATATATATGTATATGCATGATTAATACATTTCTTTCACTGGCATCCCGTAAACTATTCTATAGGTGATAATTCATTTGTGAGATGAATTTAAGAGGCGTAGAACAAAGATTTCACCCGTTTACTTCTTTGCCACCTGCACATGGTCCTGGGCAACCTGCTGTAGGTTCTGCTTGTGCAGATGGGTTGGACCACATGACCTCCAGAAGTCCCTTCCAACCTTAACTATTGTGTGATTCCAGGAAGGCACTATTATACAAGATAGAGATCAAGGCTAATTTACCAGACTCATACTTTCATAGCCTGCATCCCCCAATGATCAACAGCCTTTCTACTAAAATCGCAGTAAGGCCTCATTCTAATGCCAAATGCAGCAAATTTCCCATGACCGAGAGCTGTAAAAGAGTTGATAAAAATGTGCATTCTCACATAGCACTTATGAAAGTGCTGCA